AACTCTCAATTACATCTCATCAAACTGACTTAAGCATTCTTTTTAAAAAAAAAAACATTACAAAGCCATTAGATACAATTATTTCAAATCTTTCAGCAGAATATTCAAACATAGGACAACACAATCAAACAGATTTCAACAATAACGTGAATACAACAAAATTAAACATTACTACTCTCACAGGGAAAATAAAATAAATGCACACCATGAAACGAGTAAGACAAACAATCCTTTCAACTGAAACAGAAAGAGAACGTAACCGCCTCCAAGTGGTCGCCACCCCTGAATCTTAACATTCAGCATTTCAATCCATTTTCAACAACACAATTCAAATGTCCCCTCACGCAGCAAAAAATACAAAAGCTGGAACAGACAAAGTAACCAACGCCTCATTCGTATTATCCCACCTACTACGCCTAAACACTACAAATTACATTCAAAATTCTCAAGCAATAGCTTAAGTTAAGTCCACTGTTATCCAACACAATGAATCAGCATCCAACAATCTCACACACCAATCAATGTTTAATTATTGCTTTTGCACAAAACCACAACACTTTCTTTTTTCATTCCAATATTTTTTTTTTATTTTTCTTTCATCAAGCCAAGTTTGCACTTCAGCTTTCAGTTTTTCAACTACATTGCCTTGACAGAGACTGACTCAACATCAACTTAACAAATATATAGATACAGTAATCCTCTCATTTTCCCAATTTCCAATATACTTTCTACCATTTATAACACCAATTTCTATGACACGTGACTTTGCATCAGATACTTTAAATTATTTACACGAAAATTATCATGATGAAAATACAATGAAAAAAAACAATATTGTTTTAACAAAGGAGAGAATAAATCAAAGGCCATATCATCGCTTAAGACAAAGACTGTAAATGTGGAAGAATATTTTAAACACAAAAAAGAAAGATTAGCAAAGACAGGACATACTCAAAACATTATAACTCTACACAAACAGGCATTGTGGCTTGTACAAATAAAAACAAAAAACTCTGGAAAAAACAGTTGGGGGATAAGAAAACAAACAAGTAAGGTCAGATTTTGTTAAAAATTATGTAATGGAAATAAACTGCAGAAAGTATAGAGCAAAACTAACAGAAAGTAGAGTTGGACAACATGTCAGAGGGAACAACAATAGTATGCACATACTATTTACTTAGTTTGGGAAATGGGATCCATTTCTGCAGCCAGATCCACAGATGCTGCACTGAATTACAGGAAGGTGAACAAAAATAACGTCTCTAGTGATATTCATACACTGACGAGAACTTGTGTAATTTCATCAGTAAGATTGTAACGTGAAGATTAGTGACAAAGTTGATATAATTTAATAGTGTTAGAAGATAGCCAAAACAGTTTGTCACTTCACTCTCTTTCACTCATTGGCTTTTTTATTATATCATATAAACTCTTTACTATTTTTCATAAATATCTCGCTAGAAGGTTTGGCAATGTATCCTGGAGTAAGTGTGTCAACTAACCAGTTGGCATCACACATAATAAGACAAAATCACTCCTACAAAGGTGTCAGTAAAGCAGAATATGCGTGGCAGGGAACATGTTATGACATTTGTATAACAATATAGAAGTTAGGTAAAGCAAGTAATAAAGGAAGCATAATTCTCAACAGTTTTCAATAGTTGGTATGAATATAATCACACCATCAACTGTATCTTTTACAGTAAATTTTTCAACATATATGGATAATATTAAATTTATGCACTTTGGACAAGGGTCAATATGAAATGAAAAATAAACAAGGAAAATGAAGTACCGCAAGTCGAAAAAGGTACAGAACAAGACACAAAGTGAAACAATGAGCACATATACGTCGTCAGACTATTCCACGCTGCATGATCTCCACTGAGGCAAAGCTGGCAACCATGCTCTAGGATGCAAGCTAGCCACAACATTCTACAGGCTCTTCACTGCTATCACCAGCTTCCGCGTGCTACTACACCTCCACCAATCCTGTCCATCCACATCAGTCCTTACACCCTGTACTACGAGCGCCCTTCTCCTATGCTTCCAAACACAGCTCGTCCCTAGTCATTGTGAATCCCACTCCCACCCATGCTTTTAGCCACAACCTCCGATCTCCCTAAACTCTCCCTTCAAAACACCTCTCAAACCTTCCTATAACCTGAGCTGTTACGCAAAACTTATCGAATACTTGTACTTGATAAGCAAAACAATTACTTCTACTTCCAGTCACTACTGGACACAGCGACCATTTAAATCACAAACATTTCGATCCTTAAAAAACAAAATACAAACAAAATACAATTGTGCTACATTGCCACATAAACAACACTGGCAATCATCTGTATATATCACTGAACACTGGTTAGCAGGGGGATCAACTAACAAATGACACAGTACAACAGTACAGCTTTCCCACTTGACTGGTTCCTTCTGTCATATTGGGCCAAACAACAGCAATATCAATCATCATGTAGGAGGACATGCATATATCTTGCCAACAAATAATATGCATTTTCGAACACCAATAAAATGAATTCAAAACAACAAGTTGTGAATCAGTTATTTTGACATTTCATAGCTAACAGATGTTATGAGAGATGGCATTTGGGTGTCTTTATTATTTTTGGTAGTGTTAAATGTACTGTGAAAGTGTTGAGTAGAGCAGTTGAAAATATTTGTTATTTATAATGGAATAAGTTATGCTGGGTTTCTAAGGTGTTCCTAATACTACAGCTCCGTATGTATGTAGAACATGAGCAAGCACCCATTTTCATTTGTCTTTTCTCATTTATCTTTTGCTTTGATTGTGTTTGGTGTTGCAACAATCATTTTTAGTGCTGTGTTCCACATTCTGTCTCTCTCTCTGCCCCTCCCCCTGCTTCACTTAGGAGTTGTAGTAATTGCACATTTGATTTGTTACTTCAGTATCTATTATGTCAATTTTACTTGTCTTTATTGTGTAAGTAATGTGGTTAGTATCCTTCTGTTGAATATACACATGACCATTTGAAAACATAATTTGTTAGTGTAGTGTCTGAAAACACAAAGATGTGCATTGAGTGTGAGTAAGTTGTGAATATGTGTGTTATACATAAATTTCCTCTGCTTCCATCTGTTTCTGTACACTTAGACATTAACAGTGTACTTGTTTTTCTTCTCTTTGAGTGTTGAACTTACAATTTGGCTGTAGTTTGATATAGAAAGAAGTGAAAGATGTAGGTTTTATGTTGGAAGTTTGAATATAGTGTTGTATGATTTTTGAAAATGTTATTAATTTTGTTTGAGTGTTTTAATATATACTTATCAGTACGAGTATGAAGTTTGTATTTTGAAAATGTTGTGTTTAGTTGTGAGTGTAGCTGTATTTTTGTTGAGCAACATTCCACATTGTGTTGTTTGATTGAGCAGTATATTGAGCAGATAGTGGGTACTTTGGAAGGCAGAGCATTTTATGACTTTGTTGACAAAATGTGTATATTTTGTATTGTGTTATGAGAGTTGAGAACCGTTTAGTACGGATTTGTCTTTGAGAAGAAATGTTTATTTATTCCTTTCATTATCTAGTTTTGGAATGTAGAAAAATGGGAAGGATGTATTGTAGAGAAAGGTTTATGTGTTTGTTTGAAAAAAAGTGAAGGTAATATCTTGTTTATCACTCAAGTCTGATTGTTATGATAGGTTATGTGAGAATGTGCAAATTGTTTTGTAGTGGAAGTTTGTACTGATATGGTAGGTTTAATTTTGTTCTGGATGTGAGTTGTAGAAAAAAAAATTTTTTTTTGAATTGTAATTGTCAGGCAATATTGGTGGTAGTTACTTAGTATTGCAGGTGTTCCTGCTGTTGCCACTTGTTTGGAGGTTTTTTAATGTCTCTGTTCCCTGCTGGATTATATTTCCATATTAGTTTTGGTAACTGTTGTTCATTCTTTGAAGGTTATGTTGCCATAATGATTCAGAGTTTTCTATTTGCTCTGGTGTGTAAGTAAGTAAGTAAGTCTTTAGTTTTGTAGCTTCTTTGTAATGTCTGTTTGTCAGTGTTTCCTTTCTTGTTTCTCCTGCAAGGTGTGTCAGGAATGTTATATGTAGTGCTTGTATTTTTTGTTTGTCTCTGTTTTGTTATTTTTGTCTCAGACATACATAGCTATAGGTCTAGTGATTATATTGTGAACTTTTAGTTTTGTTTGGCATTAATGTCACTGAAAAAGTATAATTGATAAAAGATTAATTGTTGTACAGATTGCATTTGTACTTTTGTAATTCCTTGTGGGTGAGGTTAAATGCTCTAATGATATTTCAAAGGTATGAAAATTTGTTGATATGTTATGTTGCACTATTTCTTCATGTATCATAATGAAGACTTGACTTGTATGTGTTTTTGCATTGCAGAGCCATAACTCTTGATTTTTGAACTGATAGTTTGATGGAATATTTCTGGCTGTCTTTTGTCAGGTCGAAAAGTGCTCTTAGTAGATTGTCTTGAAAATCTGTTTTGATTGATTGTGTATAAAATTGTATCTAATTTTTTTTTCTTGATTTCGATTTTCTTTCTTACTCCAGTTTGTGAGTAGGTGACACATCCCTATGTTAGGCTATGTTGGTTATATGTTGTGATTGATTGAATTTTATATATATGTTATGTGAAACTAGAATAGTTTGATTTCAGAATGTTGATAATGTATGAGAGTAGTGTTGAATTAGTTTTTGCTTTCACTTGAAATGTGTTTTTAAATTTCAATTTCAAAAAATTGATGATTTATTTGTATGTTCACAGGTGAAATGGGTAAAGAAGGAAGTGTTGCAAAAGTGTGGTTTTGTGGTTTGAAGAGAAGAAATGTTGTGGAATGTGAATTTTTGTAATTGTTTTTAAGATATTGAAATGTAATGAGTAAATACTTGAGTATGTAAATAGTTTTGGAATTTAATAAATTGTATATTCTTTTTATATGATCTTCATTAACCAACTTGAACATCCTTTAAGATTTGTAATGATCCTTTATGCCAAAATTAGTTTAGTTAATTGGTATTAAGTTTCTTTCAGGGTTTTCCCAAGTTCATTGTCTCTGTTTTTCATTTTGCTAAATGATCTTTTCTGTAATGAAATAAGTGTTATTTGCTTAATAACCTTTTTTCTTAAGCTCCCAGGTGCCTAAGTTTACATTTGGCTCAATGATAGCCTTCAAGTAACCAAATTAAGTACCCCGAACTTACCATTTCTTAGTATGTGCAAATTTAAGTTTTCTTCAGAGTTTTAGTTGTGTGCAAAGTTGTCTTTAAGGTTTTCAGTGGTTTGATCCCTTAATTGCTTATGTAAACCATATATCATACCATAGCTTAGCTTAGTGTCTATTCATGTTGGTCAAGTTTTATTTAGTTTAAAAGTTTGTTCTAGTGTTTGTCCTTCAAAGTTTTTGTAGTCCTAGTTTCAAAGTTAATTCCTTTAGTTACCTGAAGTTCCTAAGTATAGAGTGTTCTCCTTCAAAGTTCTCCTTCAAAGTTCTCCTTCAAAGTTCTCCTTCAAAGTTCTCCTTCAAAGTTCTCCTCAAAGTTCAAGTTTCCCCTCAATGCAACCTTAACTTTCTATCTTAACTTATCCTAAAAGGAAGCCAGGTAAATAAAGAACAGGTGTGTGATTGAAAGTCATGTTTATTGCTAGAAGCAGGGGGAGTGCCATCCAGCCAGCCGTGCCTGTGCCTGTGTGCTGTGTGCTCCTTTCGCTCCTTTGCTGCCTTTGCTCCGACGCTCCACGCTCTCACGGAGTACCTACTGCCACAGCCCCTGGCCGGGCCAGGGGGGGGGGGGGCAGCTCCTGCTGCTCCTCAACAACACCTTCGACAGGATCTGCACCTGCAACAATACAAAGCAAAAAATTAACATGCACATTTATTATTTTTTCTTTCTAAATATGAAACAAACAAGGAAATGAGGAAAGTTATTAAGGAATAAAAAGGAATTGATAGAAGGGAAGATGGACATGGGCAGGAACACTTAAAAGATGCTGCAAGTTCAAAGGAAATTAAGAGGAAAATAGAAGGGCACAAAGTACATTTATAAAAGGAAGGAAGGATCAGAAACAGGTAAATTACAAGGGAAAGGAGTTACAAGGAATAATAGATGTAATCAGACACATACATAAAACTACAAAAAAATGGGAACCAACCACCAGGTAATGAAAGATGGAGAAAAAGGAAGTGGGAAGAAAAAATATATCAAGACAAAACTTTTAAAACACAAAAATATTAAAGGAGAGGAGCACAATCAGGATAGAAAGGATAAAAATTGACATTACATATGTAAAGTGCAGGGGAATAGACAAACTGACAAAAAATATACAACATCCAAGGGAACATAATGAGGTACAGCAAACAAAGGACCAAGGTACACACATGGGCTTCCACAGCTTTATTTCATGACATCTTGGCTGTCCAGGTGACACCATCTGTTAGCATCTCAGACAACAAAATCCACACAGCCAACAACTCAAATGACAAAGGTGTTAGGGAAACATTTAGATCTACTGGAAGAGGATTAGAACACAAATGTGAACATTTACACATAGAAAAAAAGGAAACAATCAGGAGGCTTAGACCATGGGACAATTCTGACAAACAAATATATACATTATTAAAACAATTAACTACCAGAAAATTAACTAACCTCTACAAATTTCAATGTATTATATACAAAAGTAAAGAGCATATGGTAAGGACCTCACAACATTAAACTTCAATTACTTCTCAAGAGGCAGGTTATTGGAAACCTAAAACCTAATTATGCAGGAAGTTGAAGAAAAGGTAGGTACTTATGGCAATAAAAAATTCAACCCTGCAAATTATGTATTGCAAACTTCATATCATACACACTAAATTACTTTTAAACACTGCTGAACTTTCAGCATCAATGAGTGCAATAAATAAGCCTGAAGTTAAAATTTAAAAATTACAATAATTGAGAATTAAAGATCAAATTAGGAAAAACAAGAAAAGGACCACTAGGCACACCAGGGACTATTATAAAAAAAAGGGGCAAATTACACATTATAACCTTCTTCCCTCACTCTTAAATCCAACAAAAATATTTTTCAATTTAAGCAATACACACACCAAAAATACATCATTAACAAATGAGATTATCTGCACATGGACATAAAGTAACATTTCAAATTATTTACATTTGTAAAACAAATTTAGAATTTAAATTATATAAATCATTTACATTTGTAGATAAATTATATGCACATTAATTTCATCTTTATACCTGACAACTCAATATTTAAATAGAACATTGCTACTTCACTCTTGCAATTTACAAATTTAACAGATCATTAGTCAACATTTCTGTACAATCACACAAAAAAAAGTAACCCATTTATGATCAATACATTAAAACACTTTATTCCTTTTATTACAAACAGAAAAATTCTGCATCTCAAACATTCTATTAATTCAAAAAACAGTCAAATATTAACTTCAATTCACTTATAACATTTCATTATTTACCTCCCCCTTCAAACCCTCAACATCCATGCCCAAATATTTGCAGATCCCTAAACAAATACTCAAATTTACACAATTCCAACTACATTTATATCGATTTTATCACACTTTTCTACATGTATATTCCATAATTTTCTCCTACATGATATATTACCTCCACTGCTTCAAAAACTATATACTTTTAAAAAGTTTTAATTAAACTTCACGTTTTTCTTCTTTTATAATCAATTACTTTATACTTTTCTCTGTCAAATAAGTGAAGTTGCATCTTCAAGTCATCTCTTACATTGTTTTCTCCTCCCCCAAACTTTATGTAGCACAAAAGTGGCCATTTTGAAACACCTTCCTACATCAATGTTGCTTTCCAACTTTCATTATAAAAATTGTTAATTTTTCACTTTCTAGTGTTGCAAATTAGCCCTCACTCATGGTTCAATGTTTTATAACTTTAATACACAAACTATACTATTATACCACTACTAAAAATGTAATAGTTATTTGCACAACTAACATACTCCCATAAACCTCTTTTAACAAATGTTTATCAGCCACAACTATCAAAAATTACTCACATTTACAATCTTCAACCCACTTTTCCCTTGCAATACAAAAAAAGGGTTGGACACCAAAAAAATTATCTATACAATTTTTTTCTTCAATTCAAATTTAATACTCTATCCATTTCAAAACAATACTTACATTTCATACCAAAGCCATACTTTGGTTCTTACCAAATAAGGCATTATTGTATTAATATGTACAAACACATCCCTAAGTCACAGACTACTGAAAGTTACATACAAGGGCAACATCATTTCACCATCACTTCAGGTTATGTTATACTCCTATTTATTTTCGAAATCTTTCTATATTTAATGAAATAATTCCATTTATTCACTTCTGTACTAAAACATTACCATTACAAATTAAAAATATCAATTTAACAACTTTTATTGCATAAATTATTACAATTTAAAGATATTTCTAAGATATATTTATTCAAGCTTTTACATTATGAAGAAAATATTGACAACAATAGTGTTAATCCTGTTAAGTAATCTGATAATATCCATCATCCAATAGCATATGCACAACAGCATGGGCATGTGCATCACAAGTCTTCACCTACAACTAACATTAAAAAATTGACACCAGTGCACTCCACACCAATTCAACTGACCCTGTCAACTTCACCTGACCAATGTGCAATATCAGTAGCAAAATATTCAAAATTTTGGGGCAACTTCACAATTATCACAGACAGGGCAACAAATTCTAAGTCTCTCACAACATTTTCAAAACATTTGCGTTAGTCAAAAAGCCACAAAATCCTTACTACCAATTTCACCCAAACCTTCATGAACATTACCCAGGAAATTAATATTGAAATCTTAATAACAAACTATTCAAAAAAAACAATCACTAATTTTCTTTTCAAACAAACTAAAATAATATAAACCTCTCCTGGAGGGCTATAGATGCATCTTAGAATACTAAAACATTATTTTGCAAGTCTTATTTCAAAAACATTTTAAACTGCATATAAATAGAATTTTGACAAAGTAGAAAAAAATTACATACATACACAAACCTCCATAAGCAGAGTCCTCATTCCATTCCCTCACTTTACATTACAAACTTGCAAGATAACAAAAACAGGAATATGGAGTATGTATTTCATTACAAGATAAAGGTTTTCTAAAGCAAAAATCTACAACTTGCTTCACATCATAATGCTGCCTTGATAAAATCAATTTTTTAACACCTACAACAGATCATGAGAGTGTCAAAAGTATCTGTTTCACCTTGTCAAGGTGTTCACCTTGAAAATTTCACAGAATACATTTTAGGTGTAAAATACACAAATTACAACTTCGGTCACATTGAAAATCATAGATATTTTAAAATTATGAAACAAAAAGACTCCCAGGAAAATTTAAAATTAAATTCAAAAACATTACATCACAAAAATAGGCAGCCAAAGTATTTTAACAGCCACATGATCAGCAGTTAAAAATTAAATACACATTACATATTAAATACACAAATTGATGTGTGGTCAGATGTTCTTTGCCATTTATAATGGCTTCTAGACATCACGACAATAATTCAACAAGCTTTATAGTCATATGCAGCAAGATATTGTCTTACTCTTATCTTCTCCCCCATCATATCCAGTTTTTATTTCTTTTTTCTCTAAATGAATGCAAATCTAAACTCCTCCAAGAGTGTACACTTCACAAAATGTTTATATAAAATCAGTTCCTAATTTTTCTCGGAAATATCCCATAAATATTCTATGGGATTAATCTCTCGACATTGTGGTAATATATCCAATATCATTCTGTATTACAAAGGATCCACTTTCTCCGGTTTCAAGCTTGGAATCATCGTCCTGTTCAAAAATAAAATCTTTTTTGAGGCCCTTCTTTTGCACTTTTGTGTACTTTACTTTGAACAATATTCATGTACATTCAATGCTCCATTGTATCATTTACAAAGTGAACATTCACCATACCAGAATCACTCCTACACCTCCAGCAGAGTACAGAACTATCTCTGTAGTTTACTACAGGATGCAGGTTCTCTTCCTCGGCGCTATGCATCTACCAACTGGGCCAAAAATATTACATTTACTGTCATCGGTAAAATCAGATTGTTTACACATTTATTGGCAGCTCTCATTTTTCAATAAATTCTAAACGCTTTTTATGTCAGGCATTCATCCTTCATTTCTTACGCGCAACACGTCCATGCTACCATATTTCTTAATACTATGTCAACTGTACTTTGAGAAATCACCATTCCAGAACCATATTTTCGATGTACTTTAAAGTCAGAAAAAAATTTATTGTATCATGTTCATCTCAATGAACTGCGGCTGTGCATTGCTGCATTGGTCCGTCACTGCTCTTCCAACAGAGTACCTCACAATTACATTAAACACTAATGTGTCATCTTTGCATTCATTACACAAGCGAACCATTATTTTTCGTCCTTCACTTCTTTTCTTTTCTTTACGTCTCGTAATAAGTGATAAATACTTCAGTATCGTATACTTATAATCATTGATTAATACCAAAAAAGTGAATTTATAAAGCTACAGCTAAGCGGTCCAGAGTATGAAACAAATAGGGCATACGCTGGGGATAAGTCTTTGTAGAGGACACTGCCGAGGTTGTGAAAGAATGCGCTTTGCAAGCTTACTACAGAGTGCAGGTTTCCCGATGGGGTTCACGTGACACATGCTCAGTGAAGTGTTTTTCCGATTAGAAGTTTAAATCAAGTTATTTAACATTTGTGCCTCTCAATCTCTGCTTTGCGAGTAATTTTTTGCATAATATTTCTTTGTTCTACCACAATGGGGCAGTCAAAACTAATTATCGCGTTTTGAGCACCACATCTTAGTATGTCAACAAATTCGTCAGGGGTAAAGTGACCACGCAAATTAATATTCTACCTTTCTAAGATTACTGTACCCAGTTTCATGAGAGTTTGTGGGCGTCCATCTCACTGGCACGTCAGCAAACCTCCCGTTAGGTTCAAACGCATCCATCACAAACGGACTTCCCACTGAACATCCTACGACCATCTACTAAAATTAAAACTTCCAGCTACGATGTGCAACTACGTACATTTGTTTCTGCGCGATACCTTGCCTGTTTACATTGGTTTGCGAATAGACGTGGCCATAATAGAAGGGGTACTGATCATTCGGAAGGAAAAGTCCTTGTCTTCTCATATTCTAATACACAAAATCCGTTTGCAGTCATAATTCCATGTACTTGTACATTTGCTTTCACCGCTCTTTCCATATGCCGTTCTAGTCTTCACGTACGTGAAGGTTTTCAGAAGGTCGGCTTCGAGAGCGTGTGGAGTAGAAAGGCTACATTGAATTGCAGCCATGTCACAAATAGTACACATTTATCCAGTGGCACCTCGTACTTACATTCTAGCCTTCAACAACCCCCCCCCCCCATCAGATAATTTTCAACTATTATTCGTTTATTATGCACAACATTTACCGTTCAATATACGAAATATAGCTCAGTCACTTCACCCGCCCCCCCCCAAAAAGGCTACACTTCTACAAGATATTGAGAAAGATTATTTTTTTAATCCCTTTATTTCCTTCTTTTAACCTACATTTAAAAACAGAACGATAGCACTCCGCCCAAAACATTTTTAAGCTTACAGAACATACAAATCAGTTTTCGCCCATAATCTTTTCTAAGGCTCCCAGATGCATTAAGAGGATTGCAATAAATAAACTATGTAATTACGTACAAAAATGCTTCTATTCATTTTTCACATACGAGAAACCGTTTTAACGTAAACAAGCGGCCAAGTTTCTGAACGAGATTTTATGTTCCATTCCATATACCTCATACATTGACACATGTTTAGTATACATTGTAAATACTGTATTACTAGGCCAGGACATTCGTCTTATGCGAAATTGACCAGATTCAATACTGCTGTACAATTACCATCACTTCCACCCACAACTGCAGCAGCTCAACACTTTTACAATGTATTACCAGATCCAAACGTGGCTGAGAAGAGAGAGATCCACAACAGTGGGGTTGGATCTTCAATAATTTTTTGAATCCCATTAAAACATTGCTATCACCTGTGCCGCCAGATACCATTCTTCTTACTATTCCTTTGAATTTTACAAAAAGACGCGGTTCAAATTGTGGATGCAAGAAAGTTGGTCCAACCTGCTCCATTGCATGCAGACACTGTCATGGACCATCTTTTAATGCAATGCCTGAAGCTTATGCTCTTCATTCTTTTGATAACGTTTCTACTGGCAATATTAATTCCATTGATATTTCCATAACAAATATGAGCGAAGATAAATATTTTTTATTTATTTTATCTATCTATCTATCTATCTATCTATCTATCTATCTATCTATTTATTTATTTTTCTGCATAATTTACAATCTGTTCCTATCGGAACAATAAGCAAATGTGTCAACAGATACATTTCCGACGTGAACGTTTTATGACCTTGAAAACGT